GCTGCCACCGCCGTGCTTCATCATGATGCTGCCATTTTCTTGCATCCATCTCCTGACTTACGCCTCGTCAGGTTAAATCTAATTTACAGCCAGTTTTTCATTTTAAAACAGTGTTTACATGTGACTTTACAGACCTTTAAGATGCACAAAGAAGCAGCTACATCACACACTGAAGGCCAGAGAGAAACACCTCCTCCATGCCTTCAGTCATGTCCAGAGGATATTTTCTTTTTAAACCAAACAAGATGTGAAAGTGTACAAAACACATGCATCCATATTCACACTTACTGTATGAAATTCTCCAAGAACAGGTGAGCATGAGTCAGGACCTGTAAATGACAGAGGCACGAAAAAGAAAAGGCACATTTTAAATCCAGTCTACTGTCTGTTTCAGATGATGTGTTGGGCGGTGAGGAGCTGACCAGCAGGATGATGACCCAGTTGAGGATCCCTCTGTATCCGGTGAAGCTGCTGTTGGAGCTCAGCAGAGAGTCTTGGACGCTGTGGCAGCTGCACAGAGACACTCGATTCAGTCCAAGTTCAGACGTGAAATCCAGGAGAACCACTTGAGTTTGTCTAGAATGGAGGCAGCGTTGTTGTGCTTCATCGCTGCTGCATCAGATTTGGTGGAATCACAGTCGAGAACTTTACGGCTCGATAACATCAGTGACTCATTTGTTATTTACTCTTTCATTTATATTTAAATGAGCTGCTGATGGAGAAAGGGAAACTCTCCAGTGTCTGATCCACAGAACCTGCAAACACCGGCAGTACCCTGAAAGAAGACTTTTTTCAGCAGGACTTTTATCTCTCAAGAGATTTTTTGCACTTAAATAAACGCTCCTCCTCTTGCATCACACAGACACAGAACTCACCACAGCAGAGACGCATAGGGATGTTCTGGTTCGCCGGTCGGATCAGAACCGGGATCGGCAGCGCTGTCACAGAGGTTAGCAGCGTCGTCTTCAGCCGAGGACGAGGAGAACCTCTTCCTCATCGTGGCCATCTCTGAGCCTGAGGCTTCGTCCACGCAGGGCAGAGATGGTTGAATCCACTGAAACAGAACCAGAACCAGGCGGGTTTTCCTGGATGGACTTTAAAACTAAACGACAGAAGCTTTAGTGTGTTTGTTTTCCTCATGCCCCCCTCTTTGATAAAAACTCTAATCCAAACCCTACTTTTATGAACAACAACTTTTCAACAATATTAATTTTAATTTTCGTTTGTCCTGGAAGTGTTCCTGATGTTCATCGTAAGTTTGCTGCAGAGATATTTTAAAATACATTTTTGAAAGTTTTCTGTTATTTTTACAGATTTCCCTGTTTTGTTAAATTACAGATGACATCGAGTAAAATGAGTAAAAGTAATCATTTAAAATCTAGTACATGTACTTATTTACATGTTTACACATAGTAATGAGCTGACCATGAAATTACACATTTTTAACGTATTTAAATCAGCTGAAAACATAATTATTTAACATATATTTGCTGGTATTGTCACAGTTTTTGCAGCTTTTGAATGTCACAGTATTACAGTGTTTTAATATATTTGCATGAACACCTTTGCTGTCAGTGTTTCACCTTTTTCTTTTTCTTTTTGTTTATTGCCTGTACTTTCTCCATCTGCATGTGATGTGCAACCTTTATTCCCAGTGAAGCAGTGGTCCAGGCCGTGCAGGACAGAGAGCGGATCATTTGCATGCAGGCTGCATCTCCTTAAACCCGGATGTATAGGCGACCTCCTGTCTTCTCTCCAGGAGGGACGCTCCAACCAAATCTCTGCAGTAAACCGCCAATTTTACGGCGTTTCGCTCCCATGAAGAGGCACACATGTAAAAAGACAAAACTTTACACTTTCCCCGAGCGTCATGGTCAGTTTAGGTGATTTCGGCCTATATGTTATGTAATTATAAGCTTTTACTTTAATGAAAAATCACAATTGAGTCTCTCCTTCTCTCGGTAGTTGGCGGTGTGTTGTGATTGTTTAAAGTTGAAGACTATTTAAAGCTGATTGGTAGATGCCATATATGCCGAATCAAAAAGCTGCTCCACGTATGTCAGTGCACATATGTTAGCTTTTTAAAAAATGCGTGTTACGGTCGCTGGTAATAAAATAAATCTTAAATTGGCCGAAATCTGAATGGAGTCCGGTGCGACCTTCTGCATGGACAGAGAGCGGCTCACCTCGTCATCCTCCGCATGGCAGCATCTCTAGCAGGTCGGCATCTGTCAGCATCCGCAGCGTTTTATTCACTGTCGGAGAATCTTGATTCATAAAGAAGCAGGAGGACCTCTGCGTCCATGTGATGAGTTCAGTGTCGCGCTGAATAGACGCCACTAGAATAAATAAAAAGCCTCTTTATTGGAAGCATTCAAACAAAAAGCCTCCTTCAGGGACCTTTCTGCAACGTCAAAATAAAGGCTGGGAGGCTCATATTCAGTCAGATTATTGTGCCTCAGTTATTATAAGTGTTTTTGAGTTGTTTTTTTAAAACTTGGATTTAATCTGGTCTCGGTCATTTATTGTTCCACACTTTCCTTCTGGTTTCTGAGATAAATGAGATTAATGTAAAACTTCCATAAAAAAGAATTTCACAGCAGACAAATTTAAGCTATTAGTACGTTAATAACTATTTCACAGTTATTTACCTGAAATGTACAAATAACATAAAAACAACCTATTTTCGTAGCCTAGTTAAGCTAGGTTACTTAGCTAAAGGCTAATCTATGGTAGGCTACTTCGTTACAAGCTAAGTAGCTAAAAGTTGGTTTTTTTTTAAATCTATCTTTTATTTTATAAATGTGTGTCTTAAACATAGATGAATCAAACAAAGTCACATGAATTTCACTGAAGTCAAAGACCACAGTTACTGTTGCTCTGCTAACCTAAGCTAGGCTACTTAGCTCATTTCCCCGGAGTCAAAGCTAGCTGCAGCTACAGCGAAGTCAGGCTACTTAGCTAGGCGCTACATAGCCCAACTTCATGAGCAGGCATCCCTAGTTCATTTTGAGTTACATTTTCGATTTTAATATGAATAAATTCCGTTGCGTCGTTATTTATGTGATCTTACAAACCAAACTACTAACCTGTAAACCGTCAAATTAGGTTTTTAATCAAAGAAACTTGATGAAGCAGATAAATTAGCTTTAGCTACCACTGGCTTACTTGCTAGCTGTAAGGGCCGATTGTTTCTCCTTTAATATTTATTTATTTATTTTAAGGAATACCAATTGTTTATATGAGGTAAAATAAATAAATAAATGTTAGATACCAATAATTAGTCATCTTTTAAATAAATATGTAGATACTGCATTTTCTACAAGCCTTATGAATGCAGTTCTAAAGGTGTTAAGTTTTGTTTTTTTACCTAATTTTCTGCCTTTGAAGCATTTTGAGAAAGCCCTCCGTTATATTAGACTTTTTAAATGGCTTGTCTAGTCGTTTAGGAATTTGTACTTGTACTGAACCCACTGAGAACCTAAAGGAATATTTAACAAATGAACACAGCGCTCCTTGAAAACAGATTTATTTAAAAAAGGAGCATTTAACATAATAATTAACAGTTTTACGTGTTACACTGACAGCAAAGAAAAAACAAGTTTATATCAAACCACCTTCCTGTCAGACAGTGACCTCGCATTACAGACGCGTGCAGACAGCTTTAGTTTCAACCACTGATAGAATTTTACACTTTGCTGCCGGAGACACTGAAAAATAAATGAAACCGAGTTCATTGTTGTGGATAATCTTTAGACAGTAATCAAAAAGGTTCACCGATAACAGATGCTACAGACAGAACACAGATCTGAGGTCAGCATGCAGATGAACAGCGGTGCTGAGCTCTTCAGTTGATGGTGAGGACGTCGCTCTGGATCTCGTGGCTCAGCTGCGTCTGCAGGTCGCTCAGCTTCTTCTTGAGGACGGCGAGCGCCGACATGACGATGGTCTCGGGTCGGAGAGAGCCGCACGACTCCACGTTGTAATAGAACCTGTAGGTGAAAGAAACGCCGCAGATGAGCTGCGTTCAGGGTCGATGGATTCAAAACGGATGTTTCTGCACCATCTCAGGTTTTGTTAGGTTTCATAAGTGTATTTATTTAGGACCAAAAACTAAATTCAGTAAAACATTTTGGCTACATGTCGAGAATTTAAATGTTTGTAATTTCACCCTTAATGGGAACGTTTTGCTGGGACGTCATTTAAGGGTTCATAACTCCCACAGACATGAAGGACACGTGCACCACAGCTTCCAGCAGGTCTACATGAGCAGAAGGCTCCAGCTGTGGTCAGATCAGTTGTTATCAGCCCTTATATTGGCCCCATACAGACCTCCATGAACAGCTGTTTGTTTCCTACCAATGAGTCCACAGCACTGTCTGTCAAAAGAACAAAAAACTGGAACCCTGACCTGCCACACATCAGACTCTACTGGTATCGAGGCCTCACCAGTTGGTAAAATGTCGACCTGAGACTGTATTTTTAGTAGATCCATGTATATACACTTACACAAACTTTCTGGGGATCAGTACCAGCCTGGATTCTAAATTTTGCACCTAATTTTCAAGGTCCAATAATTAAAAATCCGTCCTCACCACATTTCATGGCTGGTGCTGAGCCTATCAGGAGGCTCCCCAGCTTTTTCTTTGAGTGTAAAAACACAGAAACCCCACGTCTCAAAATTCAGCTCAAACATTTCACAGAGCTCAGGTTTGTGTCCAAATAACCGATAAGCAAACTCTGAGCAACAACGGACCTTTTTTACAAACCATGTGCTCACCTTTCTGGCTTTCCGTTGGGGTCGTAGGGAGCCTGAACCTCGTCCTCTTCAATCTCTGAGTATTCACTCTTGGGCCTGAGAATCACAGTAACGGCTCATGATTCAGTCACTGATCCATGGTATCATTCAGCACTGAAGTGAGAACCTACCACTCCTCAGGTCGTGGGTAGACCGTGTGTCTCAGCGCGTTGTCTGGGTCGTACTCGAAGGACACGCCCGCCGTCGGGTTCCACTTGGCGTGTTCCTTACCGAAGCCCTTCTTGGCGTACGCTCTGAGCCGGAGCTCCTGACCTTTACGGAGCTTCACCAGCAGAATGTCTGTTTTCAGGAGGCCACAGGAGGATTAAATCAAAATCTAGATTTAAAAAACACCAGTGGTTCCCTCTGAAACAGCTTCACACTCACCGTCCTGCTCAACGTAGTCATTGGGGTCGTTGTCTCGGTTCCTGGAAGTCACCTTCAAAACAAAAGTACAACAGTCAGCTTCTTCTGCTGCTTCCTCATGTAAGTAACCGTAAGTTAACACTTCACTGAATAAAATAACAGCCTTTGTTTCAGTTTCCCCTCCAGTCAGGGTTCAGCAGATGGACCTTCAGCTCCATCATGGTCCTGTTGGTCTCCATCAGTCTGAACATCTGGACGCTGCAGCTTCACCTCATTCTGATGAAACTGTTCAGACTCTGTCGGGTTCCACAGGGATCAGGAGGGAACAGAACTTTAAGTCCAGACACTAGTTCTCAGTTGGACTGAGGTCTGGACTCTGACTGGACCTCCAGAACTTCACCTTGTTGTCTTTAAACCATCTCTGTGGAGCTTTGGCTGTTTGCTTCGACTCATTGATGGAAAACAAGTCTTCTCCACGTCCCAGGTCTCCTGCATCAGGTCGTCCTCCAGGAGTCGTCGGTGTCTTGGTGGCCTCCCTCACCAATCTCCTTCTCCAAGAAGATGTTCAGTATCTTGGAGATGTTCTGGTATCGTCTCCTGACTGATGCTTCTCAACAACCTTTCCACAGAGTTCTTGGAGGGTTCTTCAGTCTTCATGGTGTAGTTCTATCCAGGAGTTCTGATCCACCAGAGACTGGACCTTCCAGATCCTTATTCTACAATCACTGAGACTCATTCACTGACCTCAGATGATGCATTTAACTAATTTAAAGGCAGTGAATACAAATACAGCCACTTATTTTACATGTTTAATTAATTAACAATGTTTTTAATAAGTCAGTTCTCACTGAGACGTGACCGAGGCTAGTGAGAGGAGGAAGGCCTCACCGGGATGACTCTGGGGTTGGTGGAGAACAGGTCTCGTGACGTGACGTGTCGCGTCTGGTCCTCGGTGCACCGAACGTCCAACGTGAGCTCCACCGAACACTCGGGACAGAAATCATCACAGGTACAATCCTGCAGGACGAGCAGAGGCAGACCGGAGATCAAGGAAAGACAAAGACGGTGCAATGATCACCAGAAGATGACGTTTAACAGTCACCGAGCATCCCGACGGCTACTCACTCTGGAATACTGCATTTTGTCCACAATGTCATCGCTGGTGAGCGGTATGAGGCCTGACAACACAGAAGACAGAGTTAGTTGCAGCAGCAGACTTCACACCTGGTCCTACTTCAGCATTAGAACCAGACTGCACTCATCCCGCTGATCCAGACGCTGTGATACAGACCCACTCTGTGAGCGATGAACTCATCGTGCAAAACCGATGAATTGGCATCGATCTGGATCCAGTCGATGGCTGGAAATGAGGAGATGCAGGTTATTCTGAGTCTCAGACTTCAACACAGACTGCAGTGTTCCAGTCCTACAGAAAATCAACCAAGTTTTCATTGTTATGTGTTGTTTTGTTTTTTTAGTTTTAGGAACAAAAAAATCATCAGAGTGCATCAGTTTAATCTAAAAGCTTCCAGAAGACATTAATCCAGTCTACGAGGTCATTAACGGCTCCTGTACCTATTGTGGGAACTTCTGACATGAAGACACGACGGAGCGAGTTGGCGACCCTGAGAACGGAGAAACATACTTAATGAGACAAGGAGGCAACAGCAAGAGCAATAAAATGTGTTTCCTGGGATGTTTGAGCTCCATCGTACTGAAGGCTGCATCCTGACACACGTCATCACTACGACATACAGCAAATGTTCAGTCAGATCCATACGAACAAATCACCAAAACAACTGAATTATCACATGTGAGGACAAGAGATGCTCATCGATCGTGAAAACAGAAGCTGCTCACTGAGCAACACGTCAGACTGCATACAGGTAGACACATGGATCACCTGCACGGGACCAGTGAAGTTATTTTAATTAAACTGTGAAGGGAGAAGGCTGACATGTAGCTCTGGGGATTTCTAGCTAAAGCCAATGTAGAATAAAAAACAGAAACTAATCTTCACCGTATCTGATCCATCTCTACACAACTTTATTATCATTATTGTCATTTCTTCCTAAACTGAATTCAAGCCTCAATAAATAAAAGATTTAAACTCTGAAGTATCTGAGTCTGTTGCTAATATTAGCTAATCTACCTTCTACACACACACACACACACACACACACACACACACACACACACACACACTGGACTTTAACGTAGTTCTATCGCAGTGCTTTTAGCGGTTGGTTCTGTATCGTGTCTGTGTTTTGCTGCTCGGAACCACAATGGCCGCCTCCGGCTCCTCACACAGCCTCTCTACGGACACACCGAGGCGGTACTTACGCCAAATCCGTGTTCTCGATGACGAACTTGACATTTTCGTCCGTCAGTTCTGTGATTTTCACCGTCGGCTGGTTCGCATACGGCATCCTTGGAGCTAAACAAGCCGAGAACTGAACGAAACCGCCCGGAAACACACACACACTCTGCTGCCGCTGCTCCGGCTGGAAGGCCTCCGCGGAAACATTTCTCGGCTGCTGATTGGTCAGAAGTTAAAACCGCGGTCAGTGATTGGCTAAAACAAGATGAGAAGGCGGGTTCATATTTAACATCCGGGTTAGAATGCCATCAGCTTCGTTTTCAAAATAAAACGATTTCCCGCTTGTGGTTTACAATAAAGTTTGTTTGGAATTTTTGGTTTGACTAAAAACAAACAACAAATATGGTAAGAGTCCAATTTTTAGAATATTTTTTTCCAGTAAAAATCAAAAACAAAACTACAAAAAACTATTATTTTAATTTTGTATTTTTTTGTATGTTTGTAATTTTTTTTATTGATTTCCGTGATTTGAAAGCTCCAGTTGAGAACGTAATCTTTAGCTGGAGTCCTGATTTAAATTCCCTTTATGCAGAAGTTCAAAAAATTAAAATTAAATGAAGGTACAAACTGCTGGACACGTTTTAGTGTGAAGAAAACGTGAACAGTTCTGCTCAACATTTCACTTTTGTTTGCTATAATTCAGTCATTCAGAACAAACAAATTGATTAACGCACGATAACTATTTAATTGAATTATTAATGCTTTTAAACAAAATGCCAAAAAGTGCAAATGTGATAATTTTCTTGCGATAATAATTTGCAGTAAAACAAACCTTTTGCTCGCACTTAATGATTGTTCATTGATTTAATCTATTTTTTATAAACCAAATGATTATTTAAGAAAGTGATAAGTGATGAGAATAATTACTGGTCGATGGATTTATGACATTTACTCTGCAGTGAGTGACTCTTCCAACAATTCAAGACAAACAACACGATGAACACACAACTCCTTTATTAAGATCAGTGGCTCATAAAAAAATCAACTATTCTAAAAATAAATTTGTGTAATTTTTTAAGCAAAGTAACACAAAAACAGTTTGAGGAGATTTTTCTTGCTTCTTACTCATTTCAGATTTTGTTTCTGCTTCAGAAAATCAATGTTTTTTTCACTGATTTCTGCTCTTTTACAGATTAAACTAAATTAATCAGGGAAGTAAAATCAAACAATTCTTCTCAGGATTTAACAAAACAGTGACTTAAACCAGGAAAGTCTTCACAATAACGGATTTAAACTTAACTCAATAAGTCAAGAGCACAAGCTGATAAATATACAACAACTACTTTATTGAACTCTGACGTGATTCAACCACAGATCGTGCTCCTTCTATACAAAGGATGAAGATGATCTGAGCAGGAGAGTGAAATCTTGGACAGTGAGACGAAGCAGAACAAAGCCGCCGCCGGTCCTGCAGGTGAGCAGACGGACACGTTACTGAATAAAAGCCCCAATTCAAAACCTCAGAGACATTTATTACAGTCAATCAGAAATACGAGCAGAAAGAAAGTTGATCTTCAGCTCGCGTTGTAGGTTCGGATGGTCGGTGTGACGGAGAGTTGCTCCACATCATCGCCTCTGGTTGATTCCTGTGAGATTTTTCAGCTGGAAAACAAAAGTATTTCATATTAAAGTATTCTATGTGTTTAGTTTTATTGTGACCTGCACGTGGTTCAGATTCTGCTTTATCAGTTTCTTTGTTAATATGAGCTGAAGACAGAACTTTTCCTCATAACCACAGAACATTGGATCTAACTGTTGAAGATTCTGAATCAACGACGATATGAGAAATAACAGTGAAAGTTTCAGGATTTTATTTTGAACGGTTCCTGAGATGTTGCTGCTGAAACAGCCTCAAATTTTAACATGTGGAAAAAATACGTGCAGAGTTTTTTTTTTGAGTGTTGTGTCATCTTCATGCTCTGGTTCTGATCCAACTCCTCGTCTTCAGCTTCATCTGCTGCAGAGCTGTTCATCATCAGAACCCTCCAACTACAGAGAAGACGCTGTTCTGCATTAAACCCGACGTTCAGGTGCTGCAGCTTCATGTTGCTGCGCATGTTTCCTTTGCTTTTAAAGTGACATTATAAAAAATAAATAAAAAGAAAAATGAAAATAATAATAAAAAATAAATTAATAAAAAACTATACACACACACGCATATATATGTGTGTGTGTGTGTATATCTATATCTATATCTATAATAAATCTATAATAAAAATAACTGGTTATTATTTTTTATTTGTCTTTATATTTCTACTTTTATCAGCCTTTTCTTTTAATTGCCACATTATTTTTTTTTTTTGTTTTATTTATTCTTCATTTTATTTCCACTTTTATTTTATTATTCTTTTATTGATTTATTTTTGCAACACTGCCGTCTATAGTTCTCATAAAGCAGACTGACGTCAACAAAACAACTTCTAAATAACGACAATAACCATCGAAGCTTTTCAAAACAATCTCGACATTTTCACATCCGAACGTTGCTGAAGCGTTTGAGGAAGAGTTTCAATGTTTGATTGTTTTTGGTCCAAGTCAACCTGAGTCCTGCCTGATGTGAAATATGAACCTGAGGGTGAGTTAATGAAGGAATAACGAAGGAGGAAAGGACTCACTGTTACAGCAGCTCCCATGAGCCCCTGCACCACGGCGTCACCGGTCGCCTGCACCTACACAACACAGAGAAACACACAACTTACAACACACGATACAGGAAACGGGTGAAGAGTCACCTGACTCCCTTCACTCTGCACCACTCGCTCAGTCTGACTTTGCTGCGACACATTCAGGACGACAGCAGCAGAAGGTTGTCCTTCAGTCTGAGCTCAGTCGTGTGTTTATTCACAGGCCGGTCAACCTCTACCTGCTTGGCTGTGCCGGCCATGTTGACCACGTCCTGGATGCGGTTGTCCAGGAAGCTCCAGGTGTCCTGGAAGTCCGGGGAGGAGTCCTGCAGCATCACCAGCTCGGTGGTGTTGTAGATCCCCGTCAGCACGGCCCGCTTGGTGTACCAGTTCATCTGCAACACAGACATCCACACAGAAACACATCAGACAGTTAATAAACCCTCTGGGCTCCAAGCAGCAGGTTCTGGGCTTTGGTTCTTGTTGTTTGCTCCTGTCTCATTTCTCTTCACTGGTTCTGAGCCATGCTGCCTTTATTTATCGATCCAGAATGATTTATTTTCCTCTCAGACAATCTCAAATTGTCCAAAATGACTCAAAAACATGTTTGTAATGACTTCAAACTGGTCCAAAGTAACATTAAATGGTCCAAAATGACTCAAAAATTGCCCCCAAAAATTTGAAAACTCTGCAAAAATAACTTAGAATGAGCTAAAAATGACCATTTTTGAGTTGTTACGAACAATTTCACTAAAGTCAGGCGAGTGTTTTGTCATTTTGGACTATTTTTTGCCTTCAGCGCGGGAGGGAAGAGGAACTTTGTTTTTTTACATTTCTTTTGCTGTTTGCAGTCTGTCAAGTGCAGAGGTTCAGTGAAGAGCTTAAAAAACTAACAAATGAGTTTATCTGTCATCTACTAAACTGTATTTTCTTTAATGCAGATGAACTTTTACGTGTTTTCTGTTGAGCTCAGCCTGGTTAACAGACCGAGGTTTTCCTGCTGCTGATGGCGGCTGTAGGAGCCACGAATGAGTTGAAACATGAAGAGAATGATTTTATATCACTAATAAGATGATGACACGGTTTATATTAATGTATAATTCTGATTATTAGTGGGAGCTGGTCACATGGTTCAGGCTGGTGAAGGAGAGGGTTAGAGGGATGCCGTATCTGTTGTTGATCGCTGTGAGATTAATTTAGTCGTATCTTGTTCACGTTATATTAAGTTGACCTTTTTTCATTCTTAAACTTGTGAAACATATTTTGGATCTCAGCGAATCTTCTGCTCGGCGTGTCGGACAGAGCGCTCGGCCCAGCTTCATCCTCTCAGCTCTTTAGTTTCCTTTTAATGAAGTCGCTAAACGGAGCTTCCTTCAGACTCGACTGGTGTCGGTGGGGGAGTAACCTGGGCGGTGGCGGGCCGGATGGAGTGTGGGTGGTGGTGGAGGGGGGACAGGAAGGTGTGATTGGAGGTGGAGGTGGAGGAGGACGGAGGACGGAGGGATCCACTCACGTCTGTGGACCGGTCGCCGGCGTAGTACCAGATGTCGTCCACCATAGAGGACAGGTGCTTCAGGCTGTCGGGGATGTTGTGGGGCAGCAGCAGGATGCTCATCGCCTGCAGACACAAAGCCCAGCATCAGGTGTCGGCGTCGGCGTCGGCCCACCTGCAGTGCAGGTTACTGTACCTGAGGCCAGGTCTCCATGTAGGGGATGTACATCCGCAGTCGGGTCTCCACGGCTTCTCTCAGGAAGTCGGCCGTCTTCTTCTGCCTGATAATAAGAGCACATAATATTTATGGAGCGCTATTCCAGGTACTCAGAGACGCTTTACTAAGCAGGTAACAACAAAACAAACAAACTAATATAATGACAAATAAACTAAATATAACGGGAGAGGAGGATTATGAGTCGTAGGCAGCGCTGAACAGATGTGTGACTGTGATCGGGTTTCTCTGCATCCTTGATTTTTGGCCTTTTGTCCACATTCAGTCAAACTGTTTGTTGTCGAGTGCGAACAAAGACCTGGATCGGTGGAAAACTCTCAGCTGTCATCTCCAGGCAGGTTTACGGTCGTTGGTCTGCTCTGGTTCTTTACGCCTCCACCTCTATTACAGCCTGTCATCTTACACAGTCTGTAATCCTGCAACGAGCTGCTTCACCAGAAACCACAGAGAACACTTTATCCTCTGATGTTCTCAGCTCTCCAGACAGCCCACGGTCTTGTCTGTCCTCCGTGAACAGCAGAGGGTTGAACTACGGAGCCAGTTCAACATGTCCAGGCTTTCTTTGCTAATCAGACTTCCTGCTTCACATAGAATACACCACATGACTCTTCTGCTTTAACTAACAGGTTGTTTTAATGGAGAACAATGACGAATATAAAGAATTATGAGGGTAAAAAGTGCTGCTACTGCACATGGTGACGACAGGAATGCTGGTAGAAAACTGTTCAACGTGTTCATATATTAATTGTACTGATGAATGCAGCTGATTATTTCTGCACATCAAAGCTGTTAAACTTTAACCTTCATACTTTTAAACCTGATCTGGTGCTGAAGCTCATTCAGGTCTGACTCTGTCCCAGAATGCAGGAAATCACTTTAACTTTTGGCCCAATCAGAGTGAATGAATGTTACTGATTGGATGTTCTCCATGTTGTGATCAATACCAGCAGAATGATCCATGTTCTGATCCGTTCTATCAGCTGCAGCAGCAGCAGAGGAAACGGGCCTGACAGCAGATCAGAACCAAACATTAAAACATATTTATGTGATTTCTGCATCGTCAACTAAATAAACGTCTGGTTCCCATGGCAACGTGATGTTTGCAGTGTGATGCTGTAGCTCCACGGCTTCATTCAGTGATATTAGTGACACACAGCTCAGCATGT